GGCACCAGAAGGCAGAGATAATTAAATATGAGATTACTAAACACCTCATAGTAGCTTTCAACCAGATTCTACCAGTTAGCAATTAGCTTACTCCTTGGAACATAGATTTTATTACTCTAATTTTCTAATATAATTAACAATGAGAATTCCCAATAGTCTTATAACCCATGTAGAGGTCTATTGCTGGCTTTTGAATTTTGTTTTCTCCATTGCAACAGAACCTGATAGCAAAGAGTTTTACTGTAGTCCTGGCCTCAGCAACCAACTTTTGAATCTGGAAATGTATAATGACAGTAAGCCACAAAACGACTTTTTCCAAGTCTCCACCAATGAAGATGGAACTTTTTATTCTGAAAATTGTGAACATATGAACTGTTATTCCCACCAGATTTCACTCAGCTCAGACTCCTGCCTCCCCTGACAGGCAGTATCATATGCTATAGACAACAGGACGAGAGCAAGCACGGCGTGATCCTTCCCAGGGCACTCAGCAGCAGCTCACAGACCTCCCAGGCTGCAGAATTATCTTCTTTAAAAGGAATCTCGGATGGATTTCTGCAGCATTTGGAGCAAACACTTGCAGACAACAGTGTCTGGGGCTGCCTGAGCCCCAGCAGCCATCACTAACCACTGCATACAGGCTACAGGTTTTCCATCTTCTGCTCCTTCCACCAGGAGGTTGCTCTGTGATGCCACTGCTCCAGTTAAACCATCCCTAACCCCCACCACCGCAGGAACTGGCCAGGACAACCTTCCACATTAACTGGCCCAGCTGTTAAAGGTGATACATGTTACTTTAAATCAAGTGTCTGTGCAAACCTGGCAGGATCCTGGTGAGAACCAATGGGGCTCCCAACAGGATCCTGCCTGGTTTCCTCATAACTCACCTGGCGTCCTCAGGAACAGCCCACCCGCAGCTACAGCTCCCAGAGAAACTGGCAGCAGGGAATATTCTCATGGCTCACCATGGGAATTCCAGTGGGAAATACATCTAGACCCAATTTTAATGACATTCAGACCCTTGAAGGTGCAGAATTACAACAGTCAAGAAAAAAACAATAATGCATCTAGAAAAGCTGAAGAGAAAACTAAAATGAAGAGGGGGGAAAAAGAAAGCAGGCAATCTCATCTAAAGTGAAACTATTCCCAGCAAAGAGGAGGTACCTGCCAACCAGCCTGTCTCTTTTGTATGACAGCAATGGGCCCCTCCTGATTTCTCACACAGCAAACACCTTTCTTCAGCAAGACCACTAAGGAAAGGGAGAGACTGTCCTTAGGAAGTTCAAGGGAATGGGGGAAAAGTACCGAAATAAAAGAAATCATTTGAGAATATTCATAGCAAAGTTCCAGTGATATCCATTTGATTATTGTGTAATAGTCTCCATGGGAAGTATTAAAACCATCAAAAGCATGAGAAACAAATTCATGCCAGAGAGTAATAAGAATAAACTCTAAAGAGCATTCCTGCTCTGCTCCCCAAGGGCAGCTGTCTGCTCTCTCACACCTTCCACAGGGCAAGGTACTACTCCATTTAATGCTGGAAAGTCAGCTGAGACAGTTTGCCCAAAGGAAAAACACCTCTTTGGTCAGCACACAAGTGGACTGGCTTCTCCCTGATTTTCATTGCTAATTCAGACTCTCATTAAAACAAAAAGGCACAAAACAAACAGGAGAGCTCCAAGCTACTTTAAGTCTTCCCCATCCTTCATTTCCCTTTGTGTTGTTCACTTCCCACCTGCCCACTGACCCCCATCAGGTGTCTCAGCCACCCCAGGGCCCGAACACTTCTCTTCTGAGATGGTCCAACACTCACCATCTTCCTTCAAGCTGCTGCTTTAAAAGAGGCTGCATGCCCAGTTCCAGTAGATCCCAATAAACACACACACAACTATTTCAACAGAACAGCAAGATAAGGCAAGAGAGCTCCTTCTCAAAAAGCTCACCTACCTAAATATAACATTTTCAAAAAGAGGGAAAGGGTTCAACACTAAGCTGTTCCACATGGCCCTTTCCCTCAGTGTCCCTCACATTGCTATTCCTGACCACTGGCAGGCAGATCCAAGGACTGTGAACTGTTCAGCTTGGCCATGAAGAGGAGTAAGAAGCCCTAAATCATAGAGTTTTCTCAGTCTGCAGACCCAATCTAAACAAAAACCAGAATGCTGTTCAACCCTTCCTGGGAGTCAATGGAAAGCAAGCCAAACCAGGCTCAGAAATAAGCTGCACAATACTACACATGAAACATTATCATAACCCATTATGCTGGTGCCCCTTTAAAGGACACTTTAGGGCATATTCTGTTGAAATGTTAATAAATGAGTTTAAACTACTGTCCCCTCCAGCAGCACTTAAATTACTCCATACACCTCAAATGTCATACTGCTTTCCTCTTGTAACAGCTCCTTTATTTGAACCAATGAAGAGAAATCTACAACAAAATAAAGGAACCCTACACCTATTTTCCTATTTTCAATGACGTGGGTTTTCCCCCATTCCCTGTTCCTTCCACTTCTGACAGTCAAACATGGGCCTCTGGAAGAAGAGCCATCCAAGCCACAATGTCCAAGAGTTATCCTTCACACACAGCACCACTGGCCAGTTTGTGGAAAGCCCTTCAACCCAAGATTAGAACAAACTGCAATGTTTGCCTCGAGCTGATACTTTTGCCTGCCAATCATGTATGTATTTTAAGACAAATCCTGATGCTAAATGAAGCACATGCATTGTAATCTTTCCTGTAACATTCTTTTTACTAGAATATATTTAGAGCCCTTTTATCCCAACCAATACTTGTCTTTTTTTCTTTGTGTGCAACAAAGGGAGTTCCTCCTTGTTCTTAAGAGATAGAGTTCTACACAATGGACTTTGATACATTTCAGTTCCTACACAGTATTTTTGCAAAGGTATTATTAAACGTTATAATTAAAATAATTATACTTGGCAAATAAGCAACTGTGGAACGTGCTCCCTCTTCTTTCTTTTCCAGCACTGCTCAGTTTTCTACTGGTTTGCTGCTCTACCAGTCATTACCAGGAATTGGATGGGGCTGCTTTTGAGGACAACTGTGCAGAAACTAAAGGTGTTGAGCTGGTGCACAGGCTTCCACCCTACAGTAACTAATTTAACTTCTCATTAACTTCTGACCCTCTGGACTCGTCCGCTCCACAGGAACCATGTGCAATAGCTCAGCTCACTTCAATAACAGGGCACAAAACATGACTCAGTTCCCCTGAAGACACTGCTGTGCACTCTTCATCTTCCTAAAAACGTCCTGGGAGCAGCAAAGTCTTTGTCCAAAGAGAAGAAAACCTCTGTAACTCCACACACTGTGGTTTCCCCTTTGTCTTTCCTTACATCACTTAAAAACTTATGAGGTCTACTCCATGCATCTTTGGAATTTGTTCCGAGCAAGTCAGAGTTTAACAATCCAGGATTCACTTACAATCAGTAATTGCTCATTTTAATGACAAGTTTTCAACATGACTTGCCACAGTTATTAGTGTGCTACAGAAAGGATCTGCAGTAGGAACTGAAACAAAAATCCCCAGGGCAGATTATTTCAGTGTATTAGGCAGCACCACCCCAGGATTTCTACCACATGGCCAGTTTTTCACAGTTCAAAGACAGGTAGATGTTGCACAGTGATGACAGATCCTTTGGCTCCAGTCCTGAACACACACAATGCAAACACTGCTGTTCCCTGTTGTTTGACTACTGGGGTAACACGCTCGTTGCTACCACTTGCAGACCACAGATTCTATTCTCCACTGAGGAGATGAGAAGAAAACAAATCACACTTTCAGATCCTGGATTCGACTGGGCATTCATAAAAACTGATCACACATTCATCACCACAGTCCCCTATAACCTTGTGGCACAGCTGAAGCAAGGATATTTTCAATGTGTTTCACACCAAACCTGCATGTGCAAGCTTTGCCTTGTGCTAACCAGCTGTGGTTTTAAATGCTGGAGTTACATGCATGAAATATTAAAATGTTTCTGCCATCACAGTCCTCAAAGAACTCATCCATTTTAAGTTAAAACTGCAAGAAGTTACTTAAAAATTTATTTCAAACTTACTGCCATTTTCATGAAAGACCGATTTTCAAATATCCCGAACGACATCTTTGTTGATTTGAAAAATATTAACATCAAAGTGACTCGGAAACCGGATCAGATAAAGGCAACCATCAGCATCAGCACCACGAAAACTGCCGAAACACTCGGGTGTCACTGACGTTCTGCTGCTGCCAGACCCGCAGGGGCTCCCTCGAACTGACCAGCTCAGGTGTCCCGAAGGACAGCAACGAACACGGCTCACGGCTCATTTCACAATACGAACACGCACGTCTCATGGTCGGGGTTTTTTTAAGGGTTTATTTCCTTTTACTCGGCGCACTGAAGAGAACTCCAGCCTGTTACGGCAGCAGGGAAGCGAGTGCCGTGTGAGCTCCAAGTGGATCCAGGGACAACCCGCGCCCGCCGCGGGGACCTGGGGACCCTCACCCGGGGACCCTCACCCGGGCAGGGCCGGGAGGTGCCTCCGGACACCGCGACGCCCCTCCACAGTGCGAGAAGGGTCAGTATTTACTGCTGAGAAGCTGCCTCTGCAGTTCCCTGCCCTGTACAACCCCCGCGGCGGCGGGTCTGTGTAGCACGGCCGTGACCAGGGGCACACACGGTGTGCGGGGTGTTCCTGCAGCGCCCGGCCGAGGGGCTGGGCCTGACCCGCACCCGGGCCTGACCCGCACCCCGGGCCTGACCCGCACCCCGGGCCTGACCCGCACCCGGGCCTGACCCGCACCCGGACCCGCGGCAGGGCCGGACCGACCCCGGGCAGACCCCGGACCGACCCCGGGCAGACCCGACCCGCCCGGGCGGGTCCCTGAGGGGAGTTCTCGCATCTCCCCTTCCCGGGGCCCTCCCGCTGCCCGGGCCGTACCCACCACCTCGGGCACCTTCCCCCTGCCCAGGGTGCCCGGCACCAGGGCCGTACTCACCACCTCGGCCACCTTCATCCTGCCCAGGGTGCCCCGCAGGTAGTCCAGGTCGCAGCGGAGGCCGCCCAGCCCGCGGCGCTGGCTGACGGGCTCGGTGGTGGGCTGGTAGGGGCTGCTGGCGGCCGAGATCATGGAGGCGCTGGACGCCTCGCCGTCGAAGCCCTCCAGGTCCTCGCCGTTCCTCATGGTGCCGGGGCCGCCGGGGCCGCGGGCCCGGCCCAGCGCCGCGCTCAGCTACGGCCGCGGGCGCTGCATGGCCGCCCCGAGCCGGGCCGGGCCGGGCCGAGCGGGGGCCGGGCCGGGCGCTGCCGCCGTGCCCCGCAGCCGGGCGGGGCGGGGTCCCGGGGCGGCGAGAGCAGCCGAGCGCTGCCCGGGGGTGCCCCGGAGCGGAGCGATGTCCCGGAGCCCTGCCCGCCGTCCCCGCCCCGCCGCTCGGGGGCGCGCCCGGCTCCGCCGGCCCCGGTCCCGCTCCTAATGCCGGTCCCGCTCCAGAGCCCGGTCCCGACCCCACAGCACACCCCGCTCCGAGCGGCGCCGCCGCGGCCGCTCCTCCCCCTGCGCTGAGCGGAAAGGGCGGGCAGAGCCGGCCCGGAGGGCGCGGGGCCGGGCGGGGCCTGAGCTGCGACCGCCCCGCGGGGACCGCACCTGGATCGGGGACGGGCGGGGACCGCACCTGGATCGGGGACGGGCGGGGACCGCACCTGGGTCGGGAACGGGCAGGGACCGCACCTGGGTCGGGAACGGGCAGGGACCGCACCTGGATCGGGGACGGGCGGGCACCGCACCTGGATCGGGAACGGGCAGGGACCGCACCTGGATCGGGAACGGGCGGGGACCGCACCTGGGTCGGGGACGGGCGGGGACCGCACCTGGATCGGGGACGGGCGGGCACCGCACCTGGAACGGGAACAGCGACGGCACCGCTCCGGGCCGCACCTGAGCGGGAACGGGCAGGGACCGCACCTGACCCGGGAACAGCGACAGGAGCGGGGCTGGGGACGGTCCCAGTGTCCGCCCGGCCCTCGGGCACTGCCGGGGCTCTACAGGCGCTGATGGTGGTGCCGAGGCTGCGAAAGCCGACGCTGCTGGTACATCCGAAATGCACCCGCAGCTCGTCCTGAGCACAGTGCTGAGCTCCGGTCCCAGTGCCGAGCTCCAGTCCCTGCCCCCAGCACAGCCCCGAGCTGCAGTCCCTGCCCCGAGCTGCCGTCCGTGCCCTGCCCGGCACTGCCTCCCTCCTACACTGACCCGCACCCGCAGAACTTCCAACAGCGGAAACCTCCAGAGCATTCTTCCACCAGTGCTACCTTTAAATGTTTCTAAATAGTGACGTTTTCCAAGTAAACAGTCTTTAATGGCTCTAAATCACTTTTTGGAGGCACTTTCTCTCTTGCTGTGTCACCACAAATAAGGAGAAATTGCAACATGACCTGGCAGATCCAGGTGAGTGAAATGCAGCTGTGCCACAGACGGAGCTGAAATGAGAGCGCTCAGTGTTGTGTCCTGTGATCTGCCAGGTTATCAGCCTGCTCCTGTCCATGTCCCTCACAGTCTACTCTGTTTTCTCTTCCCCATGACAGGACTTTATCTCTTCTAGCACCTTCCTCTGGCCTCCCAGAAAGAGTCTGTCTTTGGTTCTTCTGTTTTCCATGAACACTCAGATTGTCAACATTGGAACTTTCTTTCCAGTTACCTCTGTGTTACTTTATCTCTCCCTTTCAGTTCTCTTGAAGCTTCTTTAATCCTTCTTTTCATGGGTTCTGCCCCAAACATATGATTTTTAATTTCAATATGTGTTTCTTCTTTCCTTTGGCCTCTGTATAAAAAGCCCCTAAGGAGTAGGGGCAAGAGGACAGCCTGGGAGAGCACACCAAGGAAAAAGTTGGGGATTTGTTCACCATTCCCAGTCATGGCTTGGTTAACTGGAGACACAGCTGACTGTGCAGCCAACACAAGTCCTTTCACAGCCTCCCTGGTGCTGGAAGAGGCCAATATTCTGAAGCAAGACAAAGAGGAGACATGCCTAAGAAAGGGAAACCATTGCCCTTTGGTGAAGGGTGAGTGGCAGGGAAATAAAAGATAAATAAAATAAAGCATGAGCAAGGCATGGAGAAGGAGGGGTGGTCACATGAAAACAGCCTACCAAGATGAAATCATAAATGTGAGGGGGAATCCTGCACCGACACAGGGCTGGCCACGATGGACTAACAGGTTTTACAGTCTCTTATTTCAGTTCTTGTATAACTCTGGGGAAATCAGAAGCCTCACAAAGCTCCTCTTCTTGCAGGAAGTATCATAGTAGGTGGTTGCCACTTCTGAGAGCACCTCTGGGTTATAACTTGTGGCTGCACAGCTGTTTCAGGAACACAGGTATATTTACCTAGAGAGACATTTAGCATTTGTTTTGAGGTACTGCTGTGGCTCTTCTAGAAAATTATCCTCACCAAAATAAAGAAAACATTTTTTAAACATGCAGTGAATATTATTTTGGTGATTCTTTTGCAGTTCTAACCACAACATATCAGTATATTCAAAGAGAATCAAAAGGCAGTGTTGCAGGAGGCAAACGAAGGACAAAGGGTTGAGTGATTTAAACAAAAGGCAGGCTGATAAGAGATCTTGATTCTGGGGTTTGGCTCAGCCACTGCCTCCTGCACACCCTTCAGCAAACCTCCTGTTAGCTTGGTTTTCTTCTTTCTCTTCATTTTCTTAGCTTCGTTTTCTTCTTCCTTTCTTATGGAGGACACAAAGTTCAAATGTATTTAAAATCCCCAGAGCAGTCTGAGGGTTCTGGGAAGTGCAGACACACCAAACCCCCTGTTCCTTAGGGAGCCAATTGCCCCGGTAGGGAAGCACAGTGAGTGTTCCCTGTGCTCTCAGGTGTTGTTTGGACACCTGGGAGGTTGTCCCAGCTCCGAGGGGAGGCCACGGTGCCCCCTTGGCACCAGGTGGGCACAGTCAGGGACCCTCTAGAGAGGGCACAGCTCAGCCAAACCAGGGGCTTCTGGCGTCCTCCTGGTCGGGTGGGTGGGCTGGACACACTTGGCAAGGCCTCCAGAGGTTCCTGCCAACATTTAACAAAAGAATCCTTTACACACATTCCTGCCTGATGTGGCACCTTTTCAGCCCTGCAGCACTCCCAGGGAAAAAACCTCTATGTTTAGTATGTAAATGAAAGTATTGATCCAGTGCAAAGGTCACTGCATCCAGCCAAGGCAGATCCTATCCTACAAGTTCCTGAGCTCTCCAAGCACAGCCTGGCATTCCATTGTGTGCCTACAGAGACAAGGAAAGTGGGCAACCAGGTCAGTGATCACCACTCCAGACACCACATCGAGCTAATCAGGTCATGGAATTCATCACAGAGGACTTCACATCCAGCTAAATTAGGGCTAAAGAGTGAAAACAAGGCAGAAACGGCAGAGAGGGGAAATCCAAGGATGCTGTTCATAGACACTGTAATTAAATGAGCTGAGATCTGGGTTTTTACTGAATGGTTAGGCCAGCTCTGACAAAAATAAAAATCCCCCATCAGAAAGAATCTCCAGGACAGTGGTCAGAAATGAAAATCAAGTGGTGATTCAGGTATGAAAAGAAGTGGAAAGAGAATCATAAGTATTCTCACTGATCAAACCGAACAAAGCAACCCTGAACTCTTAGCTTTAATCTCAGCTATTCCTAGAGCCTTTAATAAACAGCTTCTCATAAACTTCTGAACTACTTGTGGGTTCATTTCATTAAGCGTTATTTCCAAGATAAAACTGTGTGATTCTATTCCAGCTGAATAGGAATATCAACTTAATACCAGATTTTTAAAGCCGCATTTATGCAGTTTTAACACACTTAAAAGTATTTTAATGCTTATACATAAAATTTTGTAGATCTGAATGGTGCTTATTAGGAATGGTGTTTCAATGTAGTTAAGAATGTAAAAGGCATTAGAATTCTAACAGGAAAGTTCCATCTGTGCAAGTACCTGAAAAGAGTTGAGAGGTTCTTTAAGAAATGCTCCGGTATTTCCACATGACCTACCAAAGGGAAGGAGCACTGGTCTGCTGCCAAATTCCAAGAGAGCTGAGCAGTGATTAGACTTTAACTTTGGCATCACACAGGAGGCTTTTTTTCCCCTCGAATTTCTCAATGTAAAAAAATGCTGAAGCTCTTTCTCAGCTCTTCATTTGGGCGAAAAAAAAAAACCAAACCCCACCCTGAAAAGCTAATAAAGAACTTGCTTTAGGAAAACATCTGGTAGCTTTGAGTGCCTCAGTGCAGTGAAGTGTCCCTTTCCACAGTGTGGGAGTGTGGCACAAACACTCAGAGTCTGCAGCCATGGGAAGTGGGCAAAGCATTTTGCTGAGTCAGAGTTAGGAATTAATACAACAAGAATGAGCTGCAAGTTGTGACATGGACTTTAAGAAGAAGGGACACTGTGGGGAATGGTGGGGAGTCGAGCAGTGACTGTAACTGTGGCTGGACAGTGAGAGGGTTCCTGTGTCAGCAGGTGCCAGCAGCTCCCCAGGACAGCACTGCCCAAGGCACTCAGAACAGCCTGAGACCTGAACTCCTCAGCCTGGAGTCAGACACGTCCTGCCACTGAGGGAACAGAAAGGAACTGATGGGAACCTGGGAGAGCTTCTTGCACTGAGCATGCAGCAGTGCCCCTGCTCACAGCAGTGCCCCTGCTCACAGCAGTGCCCCTGCTCAGAGGGGAGGGCTTGCCCAGGGCACCTCGGGCACACCTGACAGCACAGAGAGGGATCCCGGGGCTGGACTCTGGTCAGAGAAGTGCAGCTGCAGTGACCAAAGGTGTCAGTGAGTCTGTTCCTCTCCTCAGCTCCAGGACAGCACTGGCCCGTGCACACTGTCAACACCCTCACCTGTATCCCAGCCCTTCTTGGAAAATAAACAGAGCAGCCCTGGAAGGGCCTCCAGGCCTGGGACACTCGTGTCCCTGATGTTCCAACCCCAGCCCCAGGGGCAGCCTCAGCTCTCCCAGGGACCACAGGCAGAGCTGAACTCACCCCAGGACTGGCCCAAGGACCTGTACAGGCTTGGCTTCACCTTTAAGGGCACAGGCAAAAGTGTCACTCCTGGAACTTCACTATCACTATCAGGAAACAGTATTTCCCCTTCAAATACAAACCAAAAAGAAAAAAAACAACCCAAACCCCACAAAATCAAGAAAGGTAACACTGCCAGTGTTGTTGTCTCA